GTCTCGAGACGCGTCGTTTGTCTCGCAACCACCTTCTCGTCGGTAGCCGGTCGCCTCTCGATCGGGAACGATGGCCTGGAGTTGCGCGTCTTCCGACGACTCCCGCAATGACTGTGCGTCCACTTTCCTTACAAAAATTGCCTCGCAGGTTCAGCTAGCTAGCGTAAGACCGTGGTGAAGGAACATCATCATCGTACACAGTGAACCGTCGTCGATCCGGTCCACGTCCGATTTTGTCCTCCTCTTCACCGTTTCCGTGGTTGGTCTCGTTGCAGGGCTGACCAATTTGATGCGGGAGGATGCCTCCGGCTGGGAGACGCTGACCATCGCCATCGCCGAGGTGATCGGCACCGGGATCTTGGTGTTTCTAGGATGCGGTGGGTGCATCGCGAGCCTGGGCATCGAGCCGCAGACGTTGCAGATCGCTATGACCTTCGGTTTGGCCGTCATGATCGCTATACAGGTATGGGAGATCGGAACGTGTTGGAAGTCGCCTCGCGACATTCCCCCAGCGAATCCCGTGTTACGAAACGGCAGTCGCGAAGCGTTAATTAATATCAGGCCGATTGTATTACGCGGCGTTAATGAGATTCGGGTAGGTTCATCTGGCCTGACCCGGCATTTCGGAATTTCAGAAACTCGTCGGCTGCTTACAATTGCTAATCGAGTCAATCCAAAGAGAATCAGGGGTCAACGACTAGATTGAAATCTATTTTTAGGCTTCCCGGTATCTCGGTTACGTTTCAGCGCTCGCGGAACGCGTTTGAACATCGCCAGACACTTTCGTTTCCTTCGTCCTTCGGAATTTATTTTTAATCGTTTGATATCATGTCGTCGACCTTGTTTCAGAGTGTTGGGCACATCAGCGGCGCTCACATAAATCCCTCTATAACGACGGCTGCTCTTATCCTAGGAAAGCTGTCTCTACCGATGACGATCCTTTATATCGGTTCTCAGTGCGTGGGCTCCATGCTGGGCTTCGCTATCATAAAAGTAATCCATCCTAATGATGTCATTTTATTGTCAGTTAATCAAGAGCCTAAATCGAGCCTCTTCCAGATGATGACTCCGTCGGAACTCATGTGGTCTAAGGCCGGGCAAACGGAGTCGTTTTGCGTGACTGTTGTCTCGGACAAAGTAGCTCTGCTGAACGGCGTGCTGGCCGAAATAGTGGCCACGGGAATTCTGGTGTTCTTCGCTTGCGGTTTATGGGACTGTCGCAACGCGAAGAACACTGACTCGGTACCGATCAGATTCGGCTTCTGCATCGTCGCTCTGTGCCTGGTGTTCATCCCGTACTCGGGATGTAGCTTAAATCCCGCTAGGTCATTCGGCCCGGCTCTGTGGACCGGCAACTGGAAACACCACTGGGTCTACTGGGTCGGGCCTCTCACCGGCGCGATCATCTCTTCGCTTCTCTACCGATGCTTGTTCAATGCGAAACCCGAGGATTGCGAAAATTAGAAATCTGAGCCTGAAAGATGATGATGGTGCGCTCCTTGTCAAATTTCTTTGAAGATGCATGATACCGACGCGCTCGAGTGAATGTTGGCGAACATTAAAATGATTCGTTCTTTCAGAGAGCAGAATTGCATTCCGATCGTCCACGGTTCACAATTATTCCATCGAGAGATCCCGATCGTGTCCCGGAAGAACGACGCAGGGCCCGGTGAAGCGAGAGCTATAGGCTTCGCGGGATGTAATGCGCGGAGAGCTTTTCGGTTGCTAGACCGTTGCCAAAAACGAATTTCCTTTTTTATTCATATTCACGACCGAGCGAGTCGCGGAATTCCGAGTTCCCAGGTAATTTTGAAGGAAATGGCTCCTCGAGGAAGGCGAGAAGAACAGTATTTTGTTTCTTTGAGAAACTGTTTTAATATCATTTTTTATTGATCTCGGGATCGAATGAGAGCGAAGGCTGGTTCGAATCCGTATTGTGAGGCGCAAATAAATTTGATACGTTTTACGCTATAAACTGTCTTCTGTCCCTTCACCCACCCTGACCGACTCGGCGCTGAAACATTATGCTCAAACAGAGCGAACGACCCGGCGTTAAGAGTTTCGAGCCACCCGGTTTCCCGCGAATTTCCTCTGGGATACGCGCACTGGTGCAAACGTATTGTTTACTCGGAGTTTGTTGGACGAGATAAAAATAAACTCGATGCATCGGGGAATCGAAAATAAACCGTTGGTCGTACGGTCGTCGGATGGCGCGCGCACACGAATTCCGCGTGGTAGAAGAGGGGACGGACTAGGACTGCAACGGCGGCGTCGACCATCGAGCAGGGTGGAGGAGACCGCGAGAATGTTGAATTAAGAGGAGTGACCGGAGTGACCGGAGTGACCACGTGCGGCCGCGATAAAAGTGCGTACGACCGTGGCCGTTCACAAAGAATCGAGACGAGCTGCCGTGCGGTACGTCTGGGCTCCTCCACCGTGTGCTCCCAATCGATCTCGATCACGATCTCTCCGCGCGTCAGTGTACAGTGAGTGCCTGCAGACGTCAGCATGTCGACCAACGACGTGCGATCAGGTAAGCTACAGAACCTTCTCCGACGCTTCCGAGCTTCGCTAGAGTCGTTTTTTCCTGGAGATCGATCCTCGTTTCTGGGTCGCTTCTGATCAACCTTGCGCGAGTTCGCGAAACAGATGGTCTAGTAATCGATGCGGTCGCTTCGTACCACGTTCGCGAATCTCTCGTTTTAGTCAGAATTTATAACTGGGTCGTGTCGTGCGTAAAGACCCGAAGTCTCGCCCTGAGCTAAGCTCTCTGTGTCGCCTGAGCTCGGAGGACACTGGTTGGCTTCGATGGCGCATCGTAACTCGAGTTGCCAGAGATGCGCTATACAGAGTGGAACAGGATCGATTTCAAACGAGAGGTGTCTTTTTAGTTTCAACATCGTGCATAAAACTATGCTTAATCGATTTAACTAATTGCGATTGACAGCTTTGATATACTTTAAACAATTGATTATAGTTAATGATTAATCGACGAAGCGTGCTCACTGCATCCCGTTTTAATCAGAGACAAAGGAAAGCAATTACGATAATAGTAAATAAACTTGGCACCATGTGTCCCGATAGTTGTTTCCGGACGCGACATACACAACTATCTACTCTATATAGAATATAATAGTAACTCGAAACGTTCGCACATGACACAGTTCTAAATCATTCCGTATGGACTGTGTTTATCCTCACGTTCGTTACGCGATTCGGTGAAATTCTAATCGAACGCTTCACCGGACTGGAATTCATTGCTCTCTATGCAACTTATCAATTCCAACGGTATTAACTGCGATTTTATTAATAGACAGTGTGAGTCAATAAGATCCATTAACCATTCGAAAGGAACCATCACTTAAAAGAAAATTGCCAATCGCTGCTCTGTATTTATCATAAGACTGTGTCCGTCGATTAGAGATTTATATGCCTTCATCGAGGAAAACTTGATTTCCAACAACTTTATAGCGAACGAAGATCTGCAATCAATGGATCAACGTAGATACAGATATTCCTGTAGTTTATCGAACTAAAAATCATTTGCCACGGAGTTTAATCTCGCGAAATCTACGGTCTATCGAGGTACGCAGGATGTAATAAGAGTTGGCGCCTGCTTATCGAGCAAGTGTCGAGGGCCGATTAAAATCGATTCGGTGGTTACGTAAAGCGTGGAAACGGAGGTTCACACTTTCTTGCAGCGTCTCACCTTGACGCCGCGCATTGGCATTGGCATACCGTTTAAAAAAAAAGATCGCGCACCTCCATCCATGCATAATCGACGTTTCACAGGAAACGACCATCGTTTTCATTTATATCCGGAGCTAAATATTCATTACGAGAGAACTCGATTGGTTATTTTTTTTTAATTGTCAGTTCACGGTGGTCCAGCGAGAAAGGTAATTCTTTTGTTTTGTAACAACGTTCCGATCACGTTGAACATTTCAATTGCAAACGATGATAGATAACGTGCGCGGATAATTACCTAGCGTTAGAGCGGAATAGACATGAAATTTTTACGTTGCTCGTCGCATGATCGTCTGTCAATAATAATTAACGACCGAATGGTTGTTCCATGTATTCCCTTGTGCAACTATTTTGTCAGTTCTATCGGTCCGTTCGAACAGCTGGATCTACGCTACTCTTTATCGGTTTAAAACGGAGATATGCAAAATCGAGAGAGGCGCGCTTATTTGCACTACGCTCACGTGGCCGCGCAACAATATACGTAATTTCATCGCGCGATCGAATTTTTCATTGCGCAACCATTCATTATTTACGCATACAGTCTCTCCGTCTGTTTTTACCACCGAGCACTGTGCATCGCCTTAATTAAACTCTTTCTCGCCGGCTATCGACGACTAGGGGAGACTTAAAATAGCTTCGACTTTCGTTTGGGTCAAAGTCGATCCTAGCTCCAGTTTCAACTCATATTTAATTGCAATTCATTCCTATGAAAGCTTCTTCACTGCACTCTTATGTTTTACAGCCAGAGATAACCCTGGTATTGCGAAACCCCTTTCTATCTGTATTCGCGAAAAACAGTATTTTTTCAACGTTTGTTATGAATACCAGATTATCTATTCCGCTGATACAGCTGTCGACTTTAAAAAACCCAACTGGGGCGCCGGGGAGCACAGATAAACTTCGAGGACCGAACGTAACAATGGAAACTCGGGGATTTTTTCGCGTTGAAAAATTTGCCCATGATTTTGCACCGAGTTAGACCGGTTTAAATAAAATTTCGCAGGACATCGGGTACCAACCTTGATAGCCCTGAGTTGGAAACGAGTTCAGCTCGTTTTATCGACTGACCGAATCGCGTTATCAGTCGAGGTTACTCGATAACACTTGCCCCAGATGCAAACGTATCTCAATCGAGTTCCCTCCGATGTCGTAACGTGATCTCCACGTGTTCTTTAATCGTTTCGCGCACACGAGAGCAGTTCCATCATCTGGAAGGAGGGAAAACCGACGAGGATCGATTCCGGGAACGGTTTCCGTGGAAAACAAAGGCTGGCCGCGGCGTCACGGATCATTAGTCAATTCGAGCGCTATATCCGACGGCGACGTTCCATCCCCCTAACAGCCAGATTATGCCCACTAATTGCCGCATAATCTCCAGACACCGATTCGATTGTTCGCGGGAGACTTTGTCCAAAAATGATTGAACGCGAGGATCTATTTTCATCTTATCCAGCATTACGCCGCCCAGGTCCTGAGGTTTTTGTTAGAATAGAAAACGTGAACTGATATTCTCGGTCGACTTTCCCATGAATAATTGAGACGGGCCACTTAAATAAATTTGTCCTAGAAAATTATTTAACGTAGATAGCGAATTCTATACGTCACGTTCCACTTGCAGTCGATAACGGACCGTCAAGACGATTCTTTTGGTACTCGAAAGCGAATAGATAAAGAATCTATGTTTGGACATCGTGTATTTATTAGAAATGATGTAAAAACAAAGTCAAATGACCCGATAAGATGAAGACCACTCGAATCGATCTCGAGCTTTACGCAGCGAAAACCGTATCGAAGCGAGAACAATGCGATGGCTGATATAAATACTGCCCACGCTCAATTATGATGCATCCAACGAATCGTGATTACTCGTTGCATTAGCGTAAATCGCGAAAATGTAGACATGACTTGCTGGGAAGTCGCATATATCATACCTGCGGTCGTTCTCCTAATTAGAGACGAGTTGGACGTTCTTAATAAACATGCTACGTTATCGTGTCTTCGGTTTCTGATAATTGAAACTATTATTAGTATTTTACGAGCGCGTAAAACAGTAATTACTGCGATCGTCCGACGGGATTGTAAATCTACCATTCCGACAATGATCCATCCATAAAATCCATAAACGGTTATATGCGGACACTGTACTATCCTTGGTGAAAGGTCGTGCTGATCGTTTCGCGATTTTTTGATATTGCACAGATTAGATTAAACACTCTATTCCGGAGGTGGTATTTGAAAAAGCGGAGGTCTTTCTTGTCTCAACTGAGAAATTCAACTACTCGACTCGAGGCTATTCAATTAAGTACGTAACAAGATCATGCATGTATATGAATCCAATTTCCAACACCGTACGAACGTTTTCATCGGCACCGGTGGACAGCGAGGCGCATCAATCACCTCTGCGCCCTCTCGACGAGCGTGCATTCTGATTACTTTCGGTCAGGAAATATGCGGGGCGAATTCGCAGCCCCGCGAATGAACAACCGGGAATCGAGAACGAGTTCCAGGTTCTTTTTCAAAAACTTGTCTAAGCCTTTCCGATAGCGAAATCCGATAGAGCAACGTTACAATTTGCTCAGCGACTTCTATTCCTGACGCTATCTCCTTGCGCACGGCAACGACTAGTGATTTATGGACGGTCTATCCTCAGGTACGCGATTCCAAAGTGACGTAGGCCATTGAAATTCTATGAAGCTGGAAAAGCGAATTTACGACCAATTCAGGTGTGTTTCAAGGGCAACCACCTTCCGAGTCGAGGCGCGCCGAGTAATTTACGATTTTTTTCTTCTTTCGCAAAGAAGCTGATCGAATCATTAACACCCAACGGATATTATTAGTATTTTGTACGTTTTTATGCAAAATAGAACGTGCCCACGTTGCGCACTCAGTTATCGTCTGCGTGACTCAAATACAAGATTCTTATTTTCATTTAATTTTCCTCTAAATATATACTAACTGCAATTTAATTATTCGCTGACCTCGTCGATAAAGTAATCGACCATTTATGAACATCCAAGTCAGGAATATTTCCGTTAATATTAAATTCGATAGGAGATCAATACCGTACGATCGAGGCAAACATGTTTAAGATAATGTTAGACGCAGTAACGGCGGGTAATCTTGTTTGTCTTCCGGCATTGTCTCGGCATCGCTGGTGTATTTGCATTCGGCTACCGCGTGGCAAGAAGACAATTTTCGTGTGGAGCTACAAGTCAGTTGTCGTTTTATCCGTCGGTGCGAGCGGTCCGTCCTTCGAGCCTGACTAATTGCAACAGCTAACTGTCTCGCTTTATCGGTTCCACGTATTAAGATGGTTTGGAATTGCGGTGAGAATTGAAATTGATCTTGTCAACGAGTCGTTGCTGTTATGTCATTGATAGGGAATAATTTTAAACGCTGCCTTCTGGTTACGAAGTGTTTGCTCCCGTCGTTAGATCGTCTTGAATAATGCATTGGAAAAGAACTACTTGAACGGATGGAAGATCATCGAGTGTTTCGTCTTGCAGGCTTCAAGAGGCTGATGCACGGGGAGGGAGCCTTGAAGAACACCGTGCTGACCGCACTGGCGGAGTTGATCGGCACGTCGATGTTGGTTTTTCTAGGCTGCATGGGCTGCATCGGAAGCCTCGGAGTGATCCCGTCCCACTTTCAAATCGCCGTGACCTTCGGTCTGTCGGTCATGATCGTGGTTCAGGTCGGTGTCCTCGCCGCTTCCTTTACGAATCCGAAGAGGACGTCGCTCGAACGACTCTCTTTTTCTTTTTGCAGTCCATCGGACACATCAGCGCGGCCCACGTGAATCCAGCCATCACGATAGGCTCCGTGGTCCTCGGCTTGAAGACTATACCCGAAGGATTCGTCTATATCCTATCCCAAATGCTCGGAGGAGTGATAGGTTACGGCATGCTCAAGGTAAACCAAAGTTTATCGCTGGAAACATATAAATCTCGAAGATACACGCAATTTCGATAAAAGTTGTTCAGCCGGATCTTTGCCCTTGCATACGTTTATCGGGGTTCAAGACCCCTGTATAATCAGAAGAGTCGAGCGTCACTCGCGAACTTATGCAACAATGACAACCGTGTACTAAATAATACGTACGTATATGTATACATATCGTACATCACGGCTCGTTCATGTATCGTATCGATGAATTGCGGACAAGTGCACCATACAAACAAACACCTGCGATAACCGAGTTACGTTATCGATCCATGCTTCACTGAATTTCTTTCATCAGATCAGGGCTTTGGCTATTTACATTCCGATCTATCGTAGATTCTCAGGGTATCAATTTAAAACATATTTGATATCTTAGATCTTTCATATGTTTCTCTTTGACATCGGACAAACTCGTGACTTTTCGCAGGTGGTAACTCCGACTGATAAGCTGACCAGCAGAACCATCGACGAGACGGACATGTTCTGCGTGACAGACCTTCACACGGAGTTGTCAGCTATCCAGGGTCTCCTGCTCGAGGGCATCGCCACCGGTATACTGATGCTGTGCGCTTGTGCCGTTTGGGACGTCAGAAACTCTAAGAACATGGACTCGGTGCCGGTAAGATTCGGTCTGACGGTTGCAGCCCTCGCTCTCGCCGTCGGCCCGTATACAGGTTGCAGCATGAATCCGGCCAGATCATTGGCACCGGCTTTGTGGAACAATCAGTGGTCCCATCATTGGATCTACTGGTTCGGACCGATCGGAGGCGCCCTTCTCTCGTCTTTCATGTACAAAATCATTTTCGGGCAGAAGCAGTGCACCGAGGAGGAGCCGTGCACCTCGCCAGAGATTGTCGCGTTGAACAGCGTCGATACCCATAAAGCAGAGGTGACGTATTTGCCCTCTTTCGATTTTAACAATAATAGATCCAGTTCGAATGCATAATGAGCATTGTGTACGTTCAACTATTGTGCGATAATCTGTATCTTATATCGGAAAAGTGGCAGGTGTCCACGTAGTTCTGAACTTGCTGCAAGTTCGCGTCTGTCGGGCAACGTGTGAAAAAGTTTGCCAAGAAAAAGTGTGAGAGTTTTATCATGTAAACGGCGCGTATCAGGATTTTTCGCGAGGCGGATTATCTTGTAAGGTTTGGCCGTAAAGGTCGACGATAAATCGTCGTTGGAAGTTCGGTGAAACTGGTTTTACGACGCGACTCGCCGGGGTTTAACGTTGCCGAGGTTTAACGTCGATGGGAGAGAACCCTAACGTGGATCAAGGGGAAAAGCCGTTTTCGGGACGGCGACGTATCGTTTACCTTCTTAGCCTCGAAAGAATATCCTGTATCGGGATTAACTTGTACCCCAGTCGGCTCCCTTAATGGGATTCCGAACAGGAATGCAAACATTGATCCTCTTAGTCATGTATGAGTACCTTCCTAAGTGCACTTTGCTTCCAGTCGAAAGATAAAACAAATCTTGAGCGAACGCGAGTCAGTCACTCGTACCTGCACGGGCGCACTTATTCTCATTTTATAATGCATCGACTCCGCAGTCTATTCCGTATAAATCTTTGTCAGACTTTCGATTAACGCGACGTTTCATTTTACAGCCATGATACGAAAGGGAGGAGGACCGATCGCAGATGGTCTACCGGAAACGTTCAGGGTACGGGTCGATCGACACCTTCTCTGAGAAGCCACGAGAGATTAAGCGTTCGAGGGATGATCCTAAATAACAAAGCCTAAAACGCGGTTACAATCGGCGCAAGAATTCCAGCGTTTTAGGAGATAAAGAAGAGAATCCCGAAGGCGTTATCTTAGGTTCATAGTTGCCCGAAGTACAAGCATTCCTATCCTAATTCCACGGAGATCCCTCGAGAACTTTGATTTCAGTCAAAACATGATACGGTAGACAACATTTTTCCCGGTAAAACACGAAACGTACGCTGGACGACGTTACTTGCCATCGATTGAACACCGTCTCATAAAAATGTCGGCACGCCTGTTAATTAATTATTGTAAAAACTGAATTCAGTTCGCCGTTTCTAGCCGAGATCTTTCCACCGACCCTGGCTCATCGTTTCTCCGCGATAAAATCGCAAGACTGCACTTCAGAGAAATCGTTCTCTACCATTGTTAAGGAAACGACTCGCATAGGTAATATGTGCATCCAAAGTTCACGCTGGGATACGTACGTGAAAGTACTACGTATCCCACATCGAGAATCATTCGCGACGCATTTCTTCCGTTGTTACCTTAGTGTACTGTTGTTTTTTTTTTTTTTGTTTCGGAATACTGTTATTATCTATCGTCTCGTCTATCGTCATTGTACATAATTCTTACGATTTTTATAGATGCATTTACTTGTGACGATGAAATAAATATAATCGGATGAAGTAAATAAACGAGCAATTGTAATCTGACCCTTCCCACGATTCTCTACTAATTATTTCTAATTAAACGGCAACGACCATCCGCTCTGCGTCGATATATACACGGTTGCCTATTTCAGGAGGACGCTCGAACGCAAACAGTACTCCGTTACATCGTTTTTTGAAAAATAGGAACGTTTCTCGTATCTACGAGTACAGGCTTGAAAAAGCACGGTCGGATTACCTCGAAAACAAGTTCGATGGGTTCGATTCCGACAAAAAATGAGACGAGGTAGTTTGACAAAGTATTCTAATACGTGAAGCAAGCACGAAATTTCCAGCGTTGGAAATAGAATTATCCGGTGGGCGCTAATTAATTTGTTTGCGATACTTAAACGTGGAATAAAACCGCGGTAATATTGTTGCGGCTGTCGACTAAGAAGTAAAATTGAATAAAGCTTCGATTCCCTTGCGACGTATAAATAGTCGTGGTTTATTGTTCGATTATCATAAAATTACGGTTCGCATGAATAAGTAGGAAGGACGTCATCGTGCTATGCTCTCCCCGGGGGGACGTTTCTCAGGGGTGGCGTAAAAGGCTGCCACGAGAAGAGATCAGGCTTGGAACCATAAAAACAGACTAGCGAGATCCATTAAGCCTGTGCATTTTAAAGCTGCCCTTAATTTTGGCTTAATCCAGCTGGAAAATCGACGCTATTTTTCTTCCGCTTTCGAAGTCGGCTGACAAATATCTGCCTTTCTTTCGACGCCAATTATTTTCGTCTTATCCTATCGTTATCTCGTCTGGGAATAAAGGCGTGCGTGCAGGCGAGAAAAAATAAAAACGGATTGGTGAGTATTAGAGGCGAGATTGAAAATTGAATTATTAATGAGCGAGCCGGGGCGCTCGGCATGTAAATCATACGGAAATATTGCTCCTATCCGCTGTGAAAATCCAGATGCAGTTTTCCCCTTTATTTACACGAAAACGCATTCGTTATCAAGCCCTGGGAATGGTGTCTGGCGATAATTGAATATTAAAACACCTATCAATCGGCGGAGTTTCATTCGACGCGTCTGATACCCGAACAGTTTTTGTAATATGATCGTTGATCTTCCGAGATTTATGACGACAAACAATAAAAATAGAATTTCGCTCGGTTTACGATTCGCGTATCTGTAGCAATATTTGTCGTTTTGCTTAATGTCTTCGTTTACTCAACGTTATCAGTTCCGCATGTCATCTTAATGAGTAATTCCGTTACCTGCTGTGTCAATTTGCCATCCTAACACGATAGACAACGGTCTCGTATGTCAACTTGCGTGCCAACACTCGATTTTGGCTGCCTCGATCTACCTGAGCCATATGTACATTCATTCGTCAAATTCGAATTACGAAGTGCAGTCGTTAAAAAGAGAATTAGGAAAATTTGTACGTGGTCGTGCGTCGAAGATGGCTAGCGAACGTGAAGATACCAGCTGCTACGTGAACGGAATCGATGACGAGAGGCGATATAATTGGGCGTGCGTTCGCACAAAAGGCAGATCGAGAACGAACGGACAAAGGGGGTAAAATCGCGATTGGGACGCGTTCGAATCGTAATCGGAAAGGCTTACGAGCGCGTGTAATTGGCCATTGTGGACGCATTTCGATCCGGCATTTCCCGGAAAAATATTCGAGGACGGGCCTTAGAAAGCGTAACGAACTCGCTCGATATTCGTACACCGTACACGATGCCAATTATACGGAAAATCTACCGATGCTCTCTTGCTCCAGTTCTTTCATGCACTGCCTACTGCCTTTCACAACGGAACAAAAATTATCCCCTTTTCATTCCACGCATACGCTCCGTGCAATGTCATTTATACGTTCTACGTTTCAGTAATAAACGTAATGATCGCAATGCGAGAAATTAAATACATGAGGTTTTATCATGAGCTACAGCCTCTTTTCACAGATTTGTGTCAAAGATAAACTCGATACGATCGCTTACAATTCAATTATTTATGGACGATTTAAATTGAGAGGCATACACATGACGTGATCGACGATGATTCGATCTGATCTATATTAGGATGAAAGATGATCATTGGAGACATTTATAGCTACATAACAGATAAACGAACTCTAACAAGGCTGTAACTCTTATCAAAAAGTTTGAGTATGTGAATCGCTCGTGTTAATTGTTTCATTTATAGTAGTAGATAGATTTTTTAATGGTCAATGTGTTTGAGACTCGAGTCTCTCTCAAGGTTACCTTTACCTGCGTTTAGTCACAATACATATGGTAGCGTCGAAGTACTTACGATGGTAATAACTTTGATTTCGACTTACCGGACTCGTAGAGAGCATCGAACAATGACAAGTGCCTCTCGACCGAAGTAAATCCGTCTAATTGCACCGGCAAGCCTTGATTTATCCAATTGTTCGATGGATGACACACGTTGTTCCGACAGACTCGCGACGAATTTCTCGCTGAAAGCACAGCTAACAGAATATCGAACGTTAATTCATCGATGACAATCGTCCACGACTAAAATTCTACGATTCTAATAATGAACTCACTTGCATTCACATTGAACGACTAGTCAAATTGTTCGATCGCAAATGAATCGATGCGGTACGATGTTCCGTCGGTTTGTACAGAATTGCAGCAACAATTGGACCACGTCTACACCTGTTTGCACTCGGAGAATGTCGGTACAAATCTTCTAACAGTAATTTCGCGTCGTCAATCACAAACTCGACCGATCGCGATCTCCGCCATTTTCCTCAACGAGCCACTTTTTCGCGCCTGTGGCACGTATCACTAATTTCGCGTTTTGGTAGATTAATTTTGAATTGATTGTGAATAATCGGTAGAAATTAATCGTAAATAAATATTCCTGAACATTTTATGCAATTCAGATGAACTTTGCTGCACTTAATTACGATTTATAATTAATAAAACTTGCTAGCATCTATCCACAGTTAATAACGCGCACCCTCATTGGATTAATATACAAGAGAAAATAGATAATTGGTCAATCGATGTGGCGTGACGCGGCTGACCCAATAGGAAAAATCTATTTTCTTCCGATTTTTATCGACCAATTGTCGTCGTGATTTATTTCCCTCGTTTTTTAGTACGTTAAAAGCGACGCCATTACAAGTTCGCGTCGTGTTAAAGTTAAGAGGATCACGGTTCTTTATGCAAAAAGAAATAAAGAAGTGCTGCATATTGGACTATGGGACGTATGGGACTCGTTCCGGTTTCTTCGAACTTATCGAAAAGAGAGTAATGCGAGAAAGGCATCAACCGCGAGAAGGACGACAACGAAGGTATACGAATTTATGTAATTCATTCAATTTTCTTAATATAAATCTGCATTTTCGTATTTTACTGTGCGCGAATGTACAATATCTACGCATTTCGCTGCGAAGACAGTAACATTGCATATTCTATACAAGTGTAAGTGCATTCCGATTTCCTACTTTCAATACGTCATTACACAATGTTCATTTGTTATAAGACATTATACATTACCGTGAGACTCGACAAACAACTGAAATAGCCTCACAAAAAGTGAATCCGTGAAATTTTTGCTAGTTACGGACCTGCTCTCGTTCTCAGCATCCCTCTTGCTTTCTCCTACCCCGTAACGCCATTGTTGCATCCTCCTTTCTCGTTCTCGCGCAGTCTCTTTATGTTCATCATCCGTCCTTCTCGATCTTTCTACCTGGCATGCCCCTCCAGCGACGCGGTCGATGGAGGGGCGCGGGTGAACGCGTTCGGACCTGTCCAACAGTCCTTCCGCGGATTGCGGATATCGTGTGGCAAAGTTTCGTGATATCGTTACTCGTGCTGTGTTTTACGTGCTACACAGGATTTTCTACCGCCGGTTGGTGGTAAACGCGTTTGGAAACTACGTTCGAAGGTGTGGGCCAGAAGAAACGACGCTATCCCGTTTCATCCAACATCGTGCGTGAACGCTGGTAAACGAAGCCTCGACCGGGTCAGGCTCGTTTCACGGTCGATCGTCGCTGTTCTCGGGGTTAATCTTCGTCGCCGAATTACGTCTCGACTGGACGAAGCCCGGCGTGGAAGGTTATGTTGGCTCCTGTGACATCCGCATGTGCCGCTTCGTGGGACCGTACTTTTCCTCCGTGAGCTTGCTTCGTGCTGCAGTGGATCTGCTGCCTGCTCGTGCTTCCAGAAGGAGGATAACGTTCGGACAACACTTCTTAGAATTTCGGTAAGTGAGAGTACACAGAATATATTACGCATTTATGAAAATAACTTTTTAGAATAAGATATATGCATAACGCGATTTTGTCGTACAGTGCTTGAGAACTTTGATCCTTTCTTTTCTCTTGTTTCTGTGATCGCATTGTGGAAAGCTTTCATATGTACTACTGCTCTCAGAAAGTTAAACTCAGTGAATATCGAATTGCAAACGATGGATCGCCAACATCAGAGTTGTCGAATTTAGTCAGGAAATGGAGAAAGGATCAACTGATATTCGATTATATTAAGAATCATTGTTTAAAATGGAGCAGATCGTACTACTGATTCAAACTTGCCGTCAAAACTTTATCGCGTTCCTTAGTAGAAGGAAGGATAAGTTCGGGTTAACACAGGGAGTCTTTCGCTGCTCGTTCAGCCCGATATTAATTAACTTTTCTGACAAGTTATTAGCGTGACGAGGTCAAAGGTGTCACAAAATTAACTCCAACCCTCAGGTTTTTCCTTTCAATCATCGAACCGTGGCGCGTAATTAAGACGATGATCGCGTGTCTAGGTGATTAGCTTAATTATCTTGTTTACAAAAGCCACGCTAGGAAACAGTGTTACGAAAGCGAATAACGAGCGGTAAATATATGTTTTTTACACGCTTTATTTAAGAAATAAGTCTACGGTGAATTCGACTGACTTTTCGTCAAACCAATTTCGTCAACGACGATCTATTCGTTCTCTCGACGTTATATTAAAGCTCCCACCGTTTTTTTAAGTACGGAGCTCGAACGGGAACAAAGAAGTTCGTCTAATTTCTCATTAAGCCGCTTACAAAATGAAACGGCCGGGGCATCTTTGTGCGGCACAGGATTTCTTTGTCCGACCGGGAACTTTCGACAAAAGGCGCCCGTCGGACAGAGGAGCGCTTCTCTGTCCGACGGGCGTCTTTTGTCGAAAGTTCCCCGTCGGCAACGGCCACCACCTGCATCCCCCGATACCTGTTTCGTCGGTGCATTCCCTCCTGGCACGATACAGTCTCGCGTTTTTTGCATACACGCTACGCACCTGTCTTTCATTTCGCTCGCGTATCCAAGCACATTATAAAATTACTCGGCCCTCGTTTTTCGCCCACGAGAATCCTTACAAATCGAACTTTATCGTGGTCGAGGCTAACGTTTTTACATTGGGAATATTCCAAGAGTGAAAAATAAAGAAGATAGCAGCGTGTTTAGGCTTGTAAGTAGTCGGGCGTTTGTTTTGAAACGCGGTGCACGTGGTTCGTTACGTTCTCGCGGCGAGAAACTGGATTCTTGCGCGTGTATGTACGGATAAAGAACGGGGGAGAGAGAAACCGGTCATTGATGAGAGTGTGCGAGAGACGGAGAAAGACAGCTGGCGCGAGGGAACGGATCGCCTGCGAGACGGAGAAAGAATCTGGCTGCGTGGGAATGTAGTATTGATCACAAGTTTGAGGCCACGTTTGGCCAACGGAGCGCGGATTTCCTTTTTATAGCGATCCAATCTTTCTCGAGTGAGATAGCGGCGTTAAATTTAGACGTAAGTTTGAAGCTAACGAGCGCGGTTGCTCGTTAAAACCAGTGCCAGAATTTATAGGGAAATAACAAACGCGTGTCAGAAGCGAGTGGCACGATCTCTTCTCTTTGTATTCAATTTTCTGTTTCAAGTTTACCCGGTTCAGAGCCTATAAGGTCGACGGCGTAACCCGGTTTTGCAAACGATGTATCTCGTATTTCGTGTCGCGTACGTGCCACCGCTTCGATCGCGTTCGCCCAAGTTTTTCAGCCAGTCATCTAATTAGCGGAAAGAGCATTGCGCAAACCGCGGACCGGAAATTAGGGACGTCAGAACCCATTTTTTATCTCGTCTCTTTCGAGTATCCGGCATACCGATTCTCCCTGAGAATCGTACGATACGAGTGCTGTCGCAAACACAGCAAATAATTGTTGCATCTGTTTCTCTTTCATCGACGGTTATTAAAGAATTACGGCTTCGTCCGGGACCACGCCAAGCGTGAATAGATAATTACACGCACACAGCGTCGCTTCATTAAATTGGATTCACGTAACAACGAGCTTCGCTCTATTCGCTTCTTTCCGTTTCTTATTATTATCCATTCGAATTTGTTTTTACAGTCGTCAAACTATTGACGCTTGTTTCCTTTCTCAAGTCTATATCTGTACATTACTACATTTTGCCGTGGGCACGTATGTATTCTCTTTTACTGTGGTCTAAACGCGAGGTTCGAGGAAACATAACGCTAGTCATAGAGATTATAGTAGAGACGTCTCGTTAGATGGGACAATTAAACTTGTCGTTACGTTAATCTTGGAGGAGTCGGATCATTTTAATGAGCGCCTAGAGTCGATTAAACGTTTCCAAGTGTAGGAATTCTTGAAACGACTTAAACAATCACGATTATGGGTATGGTATAAGCTAACAAATTCTGTACTATCATATCCAAGATACAAATCGATGAAAATCTTCCGACACTTTTATAAAATCAGCTCTGCCAGAATTTTCTGAAATCAGATTTAAATGAGAAAAGATACGAAATGAAACCACGGCATGGCTAGGCTATACTTAGTTAGATGAAAATCGTGGATTTCAACACGGTGGTTCACGGGTACGGGGATTACCTGGAAGGAACCGTGCGCATTCCTGCGGTGGGCGTTCGGAATTCTCGGGGCAACGATTTTTAGTGGAAGGTCGATTAGACCCGGTCGTCCTTGCCCGCTGGACCGTTCCAACCGGCTCCGAAACGAGATCCACTCGTTTCCGGGTTCGCCCGTACCTACTCCCTCTTCGCGATCGGTTCTACGTTCTCAGCGGACACGACAAAATTATCATTTGCATAGCTGGCATACGTCGCCACGGTTAGAGAGTCGGGAGGAATCGTTGCCGTTGGATATCATCGAGATATCGCCTAGCAACGAAAGCTGATAGCTGGTAGCGAATCGATAGACGGTCCTCGAACGCAATATGTATATCCGATGGCTCTCGGCCTATGCTTGCTCTATCATTTAGCCCCGGCTCTCTCTATCTTTTTATCCCTTCGGTCTCGGCTCCGACGCGATTGCCTCTCGCCTCTTCCTCGCCTGCCTCGATCTCGCATTTATTTAAGCAACATTTCGCACGAGCTGTATACATTTTTCTACTTGTTAGTCTCCGTCGCATTCGATCACTTTGCGTCGCAGAAATATTCACTATTTCTAAAGGAGCGCGTGTTTCGCCTGAAACTGAATCACCTCGAATTTCGCGAAATAAGATTTCGTCGTCAGCGCGCACCGCGTCGGTAAACCGATTTCCACCGCGAGTGCGAACCTAATTCGAGCGAGAATGTAGCTACGCTTCCATTTCTTTTTAATCTTCGACGAAATTCCAAGAGAACGCGCGAGTCTCCTACCATTTAAGGGTACGAAATTTTTCTCGGGGTTTTCCTTGGTCGGACAGCTCGTTTTCCCGTATAGATGCGACAAATGGTACGTGGTCCGAGGAAGAACGCATTCCCGACCCGCTGGAACCATGTACGGTGGCCGGTCTAGGTCGTTAAACTGCGCGGTACACCTCGGAGAACGATCCGTGGAAAAAGAATGAAGTAGCAGCCTTCGCGTAGCAGCGAAAGGAAAACGATTCGTTCGGGAAAAGGGAACGGCGAGTCTCGAGTATCGTGGAAACAAAGGCCGTTGCGAATCAACTTTTGAACGCGCAGCGTATCACGCGATTCCGTCTAGAATTTCACTCGAGTTTCGTCGTAACATTTATTAGCATGTATATACGTCAAATTATTGATAGATCGAATTTGAAATACAGGGATTGTAAACTAAATTTTAATGCTTCTCTTGGTACCGTTTCCATAGTCCAATCTTTGGAAACGGCATCGTGTCTGCAAACGAGACACGAGCAGTGGACGATACCCAAGAGATTTTAGCGTCGCAGTCTCGATTATCGGTCGAGTTAATTCCCTTTCTGGAAGGAGAGAGGTGTCTTCTTCGAGATTCGTTTCCCTCGGAAGTAATCTCGTACAGTATCGCGATTCCGTATCATCAAATGAACTGGGTGGGGTTAACGAGTGGGCCCGCGTTTCGAGCGTAATTGATGTAATGAACGGCTCGCTTGAACGTTGAAATAACGCGTTACCGAGAATAATGGTCGGCCAGGAATTTTTCAAGTCACCGCCACGCGTATTGTACCGTGAAAACGGATACGGATCCCGTTCATTGTCTGTTCTCGCATTGCGAACGCAGTTTCCTTTTTCAAAACATTGTCTCGTACATTCTCCATAAGGGCAGACCGCCTTTTATATCTCGCAGAACAATTTTTGGTTCCCTGGAACCAATTAATCTCGTCGACGACCGATCGCCGCCGTCGATCGTCTCTCCTACGAGTCGCATAATCTTTCTTTTTTTCCTCGTTCGGTACGTGAGATCGACGATATTTGGCGAAGGTAACGGGCTGGCAATTTGCAACAGACCGGGTTCCTCTCCGTATTAAAATGCGGCAGCATGATTCTAATAGAAGACATTACCGTAGCCGTGGCTGGATGCAAACACGTTGTAATGTATTCATATTGGCCCGGCGTGCTCCACGGACCTCAAAGCGAGGGCTCTTCCTCGGCTGTGATATTTGAATTTTAATGCGAACCTCCGGCCTATCCTCCTCCATTCTCTTCCCTCCCTACGTACTATTCGCGAGGGCATCTCGTTTCGTTAACGATCGCCGGATTTCCTTCGCCCAACGGGTCAGATACCTTCCGAGAGACGACGATACGTTTACCGTTGCGTAACTAGGAAACTACGAATTTTGTGAACGAGGGGAACCGGGGAAACGACGATCGAAGGTGGACCAGCGATCGACCCTTGAAACGGCAGCGAGCCTGTTCCGTTTTATAATCGTTCCCGAGGGAAAAATCAAAGAGATCCTCGATCATCTTTATTTCCTACGCCTCTTCATGTATTGCTTTGGTATGAAATGAACTGAGTAAACGAAGCGCGTTTAAGA